CTCTGCTGATGTGCTGTTCTAATCATTTTTGGATGATCTTCAGTAGAATCTTGCTTGCATGTGAAATCAATGACACTGTTCTGTAGTTTCCATACTCAGTTGGGTCACCTTTCTTTGGAATGGGAACAAATATGGATCTCTTCCAGTCAGTTGGCCAAGTGGGATATACCTTTTAAATAATTCTCTCCCTCATCTGTTTCAAAAGTTTGTAAGGAGGAGTGGCATCTACTTCCATAATAGCTTGCCTCTGGAAACCCTATGAACCTGGAGAAAGGATGAAAGGCACCCAAGCGTCGAGGACTCTCCTTCATAGGGTCACTATGAGTCGCCTGCGACTTGACGGCACTTAACACAACAACAACATCTGTTTCAAAGCAGTATACATTATCTATCCCCTCTTTTTCAGTCTTCCCCTAACCTGATGTTAGTCCTCTTTTATAACAGTGTCATTGTACAGTATTTGTCCTGTTTTGAATGAAATATTTCACTCAGCATAATGTCCTCCAGGGTCACCCATTTTATATAATATTTCATGAGTTTCTTGTTTTTCAATGCATCATAGTATTCCATTGTGTGAATATACTAGAGCTTCTTTAGCTATCTGTTGATGGGCACTTGGGTTGTTTCCAACTTTCTGCTATTGTGAACAAAGCCACAATAAACAAGGGTGTGCATATATCTGCTTGGGTGTCAGTTATAGTTTCTTCAGGGTATATTCCAAGTAGTGGAATTCCTGGGTCAAATGGTATTTCTATTTGCAACTTTTTGAGAAAGCGCCATGCAGTCTTCCATAGTGGCTGCACAATTTTACACTTCTACCAACAGTGAGTAAGTTTCTCCACAACCTCGCCAGCATGTGATGTTTGCAACTCTGTTAAGTTTTGCTATTCTTACTGGGGTGAGATGCTATCTCATAGTTGTTGGAGGCAGGGATTTTGAAGCTCTGTCTGATATACTTTGGGCATGTTGCTAAGCAGGACCAGTCCTTGGAAAGGGACATCATCCTCAGCAGGGTGAGAGGACATTTCATGAGAGGAAGACTCTGGATGAGATAGAGTAACACAGTAACTGGAGCAAGGAGGGTCGGTGTGTTATACTGGCTCAGGATAGAGCAGGGTTCAGAGTTATTGTGCATAGATAGGTGCGCTGAGTCCCCGGTGACTCAAGGGCACATAACAACAATGGTAGGTTTCTTGAGTATTTATCAGGATGACTTTGTCTGTTTGCTGGGCGATTAATCAACCTCCTCTCCTTTACTTCCCCCATTCAGGTATCAGAAAAGGGTGGCCCTCTACCTGGCGGCCTTCCACGGCCACGTGGAGCTCACTGAGTGGGCCCTGAAGCAGGGCGTGAGACCCCACGAGGCGGTGGGCGCGCACCCGTACCGCGCGTGGTGCCACGAGGCCCTCCACGCAGACGTCTCTAAATGCCCCGTTCATGCAGCTGCCGAGTCGGGCCAGCTGCTGGTTCTGAAGGCCTTTGTCAACTGCAGCGTGCTGTGCCTGGAATGCAAAAACGCCGCAGGCCAAACCCCGCTCACCCTCGCGCTCAAACACAAACGCAAGGACTGCGTGCTCTACCTGCTGAATAAAATGTGCTCCACGGTCTCGTTTCCGAAAATGTCAGTGCCCATGAGCATCTATATCAAAATCAAGCAGTGGGTTCTCCGAACTCACGGGCACAGCCGCCACAAAGGCCGGCCGCGCCGGGCCAGGGAGTCGGGAGCGAGGGTCGGAGACACCGTGGTGGTGGATGGTTTCAGCGACCCAACGATGAGCTCACGGAGCTGGCCGGGGCGCGCGCGCAGGGCCTCCCAGGACGCAGCCTGCGCGCGCGCTCCTCGGGGGCCGCGCACCGCGCTCTCCCCGCGGAACACGGCAGCGCAAGCCTGCACCTTTCCTCCCCTGCCGGATGCAGATAAATTCTCTGCGTTACAAAGGCGTCAGCGGGGAAAACAGGCAAACCTTACCGACACAGCCGCCGGGAAGAAAGAAAAGTTTATAAGAAATGCCTATTTCCCTCAAGTCCCCCTCCCTCCAGTGACAAAAGTGGGGTGTTCACACCCATCCTTTCAGTACGCCCCACCCAGTGATGTCTTTCTGCTAAAATCCTCTTTCACTTCTTTCTCGGAGCGCAGTGGAAAGACGACAAGGGAGAACGCCATCGACTGCTTGGCTATGGCAAGGTAATGCTTTCTCTTCCAACACAGGATCCAGTCGTTCCAGGGACCCGGTGAATGCTGGCAATAAGGAAGTTCAGGGGTAGAATTCTCACCTTCCATGCCAGAGACCAGGGTTTGATTCCTGGTCATTGTCCAATCAGTGCAGCCAGCCATTTATTACCTGTCCACAAGTGGAGGCTTGCATGTTGCTGTGAAGTGGAACAAGCTTCCAGAATAAGGCAGACTGTTGTTGTTGCTGTTATGTGCCGTCGAGTCGCTTGCAACTCATAGCGACCCTATGTACAACAGCCCTAAACTCTGCTAAGTCCTGTGCCAATCATACATACTGTCTCCGACACTCCCATCCCGATTACCCCAGTCACTGAATCAATCCAACTCATAGAGGGCTTTCTTCTCCTGTTCTGTCCTTCCACCCTCCCAAGCATGATGTCCCTCTCCAAGAACCTGTCTCTCCTTGCAAGATGTCCAAAGTATGTTAGATGGAGCCTCATATCCTTGCCTCCAAGAAGCCGCCCAGTTTGACACTTTCCAGGATGAATCTGTTTGTTTTCCAAGCAGTCCATGGTACCCTCAATACTCTTCTCCAGCACCACAGCTCAAAGGCACCAATTCTTCTTCTATCCTCCTTGGTCATTGTCCAACTCTCTGATGCATAACAAGTGATTGCAAAGACCATGGCCTGTATCAAATTCACCTTAGTCTCCAGAGAGACACCATTGCTCTTCAGTACTTTGTGGAGGTCCCTAACCACAGACTTTCCCATCGCAATACGCCTTTTAATTTCCTGGCTACTGGTGCCAAGAGGTTGACTGTGGAGCCAAGCATACTAAAGCTGTGAACAATCTCAATTTCTTCAGCATCCATCCTGCTGCTGCCAGTTGGTCCAGTGGTGAGAATCTTTGTCTTCTTGACATTGAGCCTCAATCCATATTGGAGGCTGCAGTCCTTGACCCTCTGCAGCAGGTGCTTCAGGTCCTCTTCAGTTTCAGCAAGCAGGGTTGTGTCATCTGCATAACGCAGATTGTTGATAAATCTTCCACCAATCTTGACCCCACATTTCTCCTCATAGAGCCCAGCCTCCCAGATAATGTTCTGCATATAGGTTGAAAAGGTATGGAGATAGGATGCATCCCTTGCATACGCCCGTCCCAATTTTGAACCATGCAATGTTTCCTTGCTCTGTTCTGACGACTGCCTTCTGGTCCAAGTATAGGCAGACTAGGGGGGAAAAATAAAAAATCGGGAGATCTATTTTTAAAAATCAACCAGTGAAAATCCCGAGGCTTACATTAGTCCTATCCCATTGTAGACGATTTCACTATGCTTTGGGGCTGACTGGCTGGTAGTGGGGAATCGGCCAACAATAAACATCAACGGGACAGACAATGGTCCACAGAGCCCCACTGTGCTGTATAGTGTACTACAGATTGTTCCAATAACTCAAGTCCCAGCTTTGAGGACTTTATCTTAACTCTGTGCCTGAGACAAAATCAGAGGACCAAAAAAAGAAACTTAAAATTCAAGAAAGGGACAATAAAAACACATGGAAAATAGAATAGCAATGGAAGTGGAAGGGGAAAAAGGAACAATTTTAAAACCAATCGAATTACAAAGACTATGTTGACCATTTTTGGATAACAGATATAGGTGGAGGGACATACTTCAGACATGTTGCAAGGAGGGATCAGTCCTTGGAGAAGGACATCATGCTTGGGAGGCTGGAGGGACAGCAGCACAGGAGAGAAAGACCCTCTATGAGGTGGATTGATCCAGTGACTGGAGTAATAGGGGTAGGTGTGTCAGAGACCGTGAGATCGGCATAGGACAGAGCAGGGTTTAGGGCTGTTGTACACAGGATCGTTATGAGGCACAGGTGACTTGATGGCATATAACAACAACAGGATGGCACAGGATGGGGCAGGGTTCAGATCTGTGGCTCCTGGGGTCACTATGAGTCGTAGTTAATTAGAGGACACCTAACAGCAACAAGGTGATATGCTTTATACTAATATTTATAGTTTGTTACAAAGATTCATAGTAGTCTTATTCACAATAGCAAAAAACAACAACAAAAAAACCCCCAAAACCGAAATTGGCCCAATTTTCCACCACCAAATTTAAAAAAAAACCCACAACGTCATATTTGAGAAAATAGCAGGTCAGTGAAAGAGAGGAACACCTTCAGTGAGATGGATTGGCATAGTGATTTCAATAATGGGCTGGCGCACAGAAGAAATTGTGAAGATGGCACAGGGTTGGGCAAGATTCTGTTATTCATGAATTGGAGTCCTTTTGACGGGAATGTTGTTAGAAAGAACTTGGCTAGTTGTTGCCACCTAGCGGTGAGAGTAACTTAGGAGGTAAAAAGAGCCAAAATCAGGATCTAACTTAAGAGTGGATAGTAGATAAATGACACAGTTGAGCCTCTACATCTTGGGGTTCCTAACCTTTATACTATAATAGACAAAGTGCTAGTCAATAAGCCTTTTATTTTAAGAACTACCTTTCCTCTGTAACTTGATTTGTGCCACTGTTAGAACCTCTACTTGGAATATTATTGCTTTTAATTTTTGACTCATACATTT